TCTCTCTCTCTCTCTCTCTCTCTCTCCTTTTTCAAAATTCAGTGTTGTTATGAGAAGCAAAGAAACACATTAACGGCCATTTAGAAAAGCAAGGGAAAGTAATATTAACAGACTGAAACAACAGAGCGAGAGAAAAGAAATAGAACTGACCAGTGACACCACCTAACCACCCACACAGACAGAAACAACAGAGGGATGAAAACAGACACATGTCCTTTTTTAAAAGTTTTAGTAAGAGTTTTACGGCACTTGCAACACAATAAGGTCACGTAAGTGCCGAAGAACAGAGGTGTTACAAGAGAGAAGCATACACAAAAAAGAAGGAGTGGAGATATAAAGACGACAGACATTTGATTGGAAAGAAGAGGCAAACCACACCAGAGCACCCGCCAACCACCCACTGTTGCAGTGTGGGACTGCGGCTTACTCGGTAAACATTTCTCTCCGCTTGGGATTTGAACTAAGTTCTCCAGCGTGTGACAGCTGGGCACCTGGCCCCTACACCACAGACCAAGGATGTAGCAGACTCAGACGACCAACCAACAGTATTTCAAACCGTCGTACAATAATGTCGTACGTCGTACAGAAATGAAATGTTGTACATAATCAGAAATAACAATTTGATGTCCGTCTTTTCAGATTTTCCATGAAGAACACAGATTGGGAAAATTTGTATGAATAAGTTTTAGTTTTAGTAAAGGTTTAACGGCACTTGCAACACAATAAGGTCATCTAAGTGCCAGAAGATTAGAGGGGTTACAAGAGAGTAACAAACATAAAATAGAAGGAGAGAAAAGGACAACAGATGTTTGATAGGAAAGAAGGAGCAAACCACACTAGAGCACCCGCCAACCACCCACGTATGAATTAGGAAGTGATGTATCATAGTGGTAAGATATAATGTGTCTAAACGACAGAAACCCCCCCCTCGTTCTCTCAACCACAAATACCACACTAGACACGAGCACGACAAAAAAAATAATCGATCAATCAAAAATCAAAACTAAAACCAACTAAACAAAAACAATAACAGTAACAAAACGAAACCCCAAAACGGTCACCTCCAAATGGCACTCACCCTGATTCTGTCGGGCCCTAATCCAGGAGGCGGGCATCGCTCGAGGTAGGAGTTCAAATCCTGGTCGATGAACTCAAAGACCAGGGAGAGACAGATGTCCCTGTCTGAGACTGCCTGATGGTGCACGTCTAGCAGCCTGGCGGGGGCACACACAGAGAGTGGAGTTTTAGTAAGAGTTTTACGCCACTTGCAACACAATAAGGTCGTATAAGTGCCGAAGATCAGAAGTTTTACAAGAGAGTAACAAACACAAAAACAAAGGGGGGGAGATAAAGACAATACATGTTTGAAGGGAAAGAAGGAGCAAACCACACCAGAGCACCTGCCAACCACCCACTAACTCACAACTAACAGGTAGATTCTAACAACAAACTACAGTGGACATTGTGTAAGACAGGCGGCCAGTGGAGAGGGGGGAGGGGGAATGGGACATGGCCGTTTGTACAAGTGATTGTCTTAGACAGGTGGCAGTGAGAGCAGGTGATTGTCTAAGGCTGCAAACGCACTGGCTTCACATTCCCCACGTTTTCACGTTATTACCGTCGCCCAACTAGCAGATGTGACGGAAGCCTTCTTTAACCTATAACTGGCGTTGTGCTGACTTCACATCACAATCCCCACACTTTCACCGCCCACCCTTCACCATTTTCATTTTGACGCTGCAGTAAAATCGCTCTCTGCAAATCGCCATTCTGCGGTCTAGGGGCGGAAATTCTAAAAATCCCAGTTAGGATGAAGAGAGATGAAATTCATTCTGATCAAAATTGCATTAAATTGTATTTTTGACTTCAGATTTGGATTCTGCGATGAAAATTACATCCAATATAAGCACACGAGATTTTCACTTTCAGGCTCATTTTCCCAATATATACAATTGAAAAAATAATAGTAAACATGCTGACCTCGACCTACATGTTTTGACTCTTTGGGTCGTTCACTTCTTTCTTTTTGTAGGCTCTGTATAGATCTAGTATATATTGAGACACTTGATTCAGAACTTGAGCGGACAAGATGGAAGAAGCACTAATTGCAGAGGTGCAGAAGAGACCTGCACTTTTGGATAAATCACAAGACAATTACGTCAACAAGCAGTGGGTAGACATTCCTAAAGAAGTTGGAGTTGAAGGTAAGAATTTTAGTTTCATTGTTTATTTCAAAATCACGAGGGAGAAAGGAATGTGAAGTCAGTAGCCTACGTTTGTGTAATCAACTCACGAGGGAGAAAGGAATGTGAAGTCAGGACGTTTGTGTCATCAACTCAAACTTTCCCTCCCCAAAACGGAGAGTTGAAAACCTGGGGAGCGTGAAGCAAGTGCGTTTGCAGCCTTGGACAGGTCGCGGGCAGTGTTGCATACAGACATAAGTCATTTCTGGCGGCCTTTGAGATACGTCTGAAGGCAATGCTGCCCGCAAGGTGGCAGTAAGAGCAGGTACCACTGCACAAGTCTTAAACTGGCAAATAGCTTACTTGACAATGTTTGGGTGCTCCGTGTTTTCCAACTGTTTCAAGAGAGAAATCTCTCTGATAGCCGCCATGGGCATCCCGGCCTCATATTGTCTCCCTTGTCGCCGTATCCTGATCTGCTTGATGGCAACGATCGCCCCCTCTTTGTTCTTGTCTCTGGCTTTGAAAACCTGGCCATAAGCGCCTGAAGAAGACAAAAGAAAACCGTTTCGTAAAAACTCTGGATCAGAAAAAGTAAAAGCAACAACTCGTTCTTCTAACATTTACTCAATAACACAGAAAAAAAGAACAAATCTTGAAATCCCACAGACAGCATCACTTCTCTGACACAGTAATTAGCGCCAGAGGAGAGTGACCTTTAACTCTTTCACTGCCGGGGGGGGGGGGGGGTTTCCTCACCGTGACCGGACCCCATATGTGACCTACTTTCTGACTCTGCCTACCGTCGGACAAATTAAAGATTTTAAAGTTCAATGTTTAATATTAGCCACATGTATTATATATACGGAAATAAAGTAGAAATAATGACCTATCTCAACGAGTTGCTAAAAACGATCATTCTGCAGCCTAAGATTTCAGATTTGATTATTACACAAGTATTCTGACTGTACCTATAAATAGACTCACTGTAGCCCACGTGTGACAATTCTGACTGTATCTATAAATAGACTCACCAGAGCCCACGAGTGACAATTCTGACTATCTATAAATAGACTCACCAGCCCACGTGTGACAATTCCGACTGTATCTATAGACTCACCAGAGCCCACGTGTGACAATTCCGACTGTATCCGTAAATAGACTCACCAGAACCCTCGTGTGACCATTCTGACTATCTATAAATAGACTCACCAGAGCCCACGTGTGACAATTCCGACTGTATCTATAAATAGACTCACCAGAGCCCACGTGCGACAAGAACTCGTAGCTCCTCTCTCCAATGTCCTTGACCTGAGAGCCCTGCTGCTGGGACTGCTGCTGCTGTTGCTGTTGTTGCTGCTGGCCCACCACCTGCTGAGACTGACACTTGGCCTGCTGCTGTTGCTGCTGCTGCTGCTGCTGCTGCTGTCGCTTCTGCACTACTACTACTAGCACTATAAAATACCTTTACATTGATATTAATGGTTATATTGTTACTGTTGTTGGTGATTGTTGATAATGATGGTCTCGTTGCTGCTGTTGCTGCTGCTGCTGCTGCTGCTGCTGTCGCGGCGAGTACTGCTGCTGCTGCTGTTGCTGCTGTTGCTGTCGGCTGGGCTGCAGCACCGTCTGCTGCTTGGTGGAGGGCTGTAGGACCTGCTGTTGCTGCAGCTGTTGCGGCGAGGTCTGGAGCTGCGCGCTGTGCTGGGTGGGGGGCACGGCGGCGCGGACTTTGGGGGAGTTAAACGCCTTCATGGATGCAGACGCTGGGGCCGGGCTCATTCATAATGGACAGCAGGGCATGCCTCGAGCTGAGGGGTCTGGGGGACAAGAGAATGGTCCAACTGTGAACTGAACACAGACGGAATACAGACAGAATACAGACGGAATACAGACAGAATACAGACGGAATACAGACAGAATACAGACGGAATACAGACGGAATACAGACAGAATACAGACGGAATACAGACTGAATACAGACAGAACACATATAAAATACATACGGAATACAGACAGAACACAAATAGAATACAAACAGAATACAGACAGGATACAGATAGCATACAGATGAAATGCAGATGGAATACAGTATACGGATAGAAATACAAATCCGATAGAATACAGATAGAATATAAGTAGAATACAGATGGAATACAGATCACATAGAATACAGTACACACATAGAATACAGATAGACCGACAGAATACAGATGGAATACAGATAGAATACAGTATACAGATAAAATACAAATAAATAGAATACAGATACACAGACAGAATACAGACAGAATACAGACAGAATACAGATACAGTGGAGTCCACTTATAACGAATCCTGAAATAACGAGAAGTCTGTTATAAAGACACTATTCTAAAACCCCGATTTTTTTCCCTTCTTTACCTTTGTAAATAAAATACTGCTATAGCGCTATCAGACAAACATGTGAGTCGGTTATAGCGGAATAGTGCTGCTGCTGTGCACAGTGCACATATCATTTATACCATGTAAAACCTCGCCAGTTGAGATACTTGTTGGTGATCTAGCGAAACAAAGAATGGGACAGCCCACGGGCCCCAACAATGAAGGCGGGAGAGAATGAGTGGGGAGGGTGTATCATGCGCAGACAAGCAGAACGCATTGCGTGATAGGCCAGCCTAGTCTAGATTATCTAGGCCTACCATGCCTCTCACTTCTCCGATGCGGGGAAAGAGAGGCCATAGTGCTGTGACGGACAGAGCGAATGTATTACGTGCGCAAGCAGACGGAACGCACAACAGGGTGTGGTGGGGTGGGGGCGACGCCTACTCTAACAGTTAGAGTAGGCTTTGGGTGGGGGACAACACAGCGGGCTAGTTAGCCAGGAGAACTTTCTTTTTGATCGCCAACGCCAAACTGTCAACATTGCTAGCGCTAGAGAAAGAAACCTGATTCAACTTTTGATCAAGTAAGACCAAGAGGTCATGTCGGGCAAAATCATCATCAGGGGCTATAACAAAAAGAAATAGACAGAACACAAAACTCATAGCTTAGGCCTACTTTATTATTTCATTTAATTTATTACTGGATCCCTTATAATGAGAATCCTGCTATAATGGACATTTCGTACCAGTCCCCTCCCTCTCGTTCAGATAGAATACAGACAGAATACATACAGAATACATACAGAATATATACAGAATACAGACAGAATACATACAGAATACATACAGAATACATACAGAATACAGACAGAATACAGACAGAATACAGACAGAATACAGACAGAATACAGACAGAATACAGCCGTCTCCGCCTAACTACTGCCCGCTTGGGAAGCAAGTCTTAGTTGCTGTTAGGTGGAGGTGGCCGATAACTGGGTTTTTTCACAGGAGGGGGGGGGGGAGATAATCTTTACCAATCTACCTCACACACACATATACACTTTAGAGGAATATCATTCAGTAGCAACAAGCCTAGATGTATGTGCCATCATTCGTATCTGTTCCTTCTGTCCATTATAATTATTTCCCTTATTTGTCAATCATATTCATCCGCTTTACTTCAGTTCCATTTCTGTCTCAGTCACGCATCGTCTGACGTATGTCTTCATTGTGCTTGATTATTAAAGTCCTCGTCAAGTCACAAAGAGTGTTGACATTTATTTATGAAGAAATAAGAGATACATCATGACCACCATCCCTTGCCCTGCGCTGGGCTGCGACGTGGAGTGGCTTGCATATACGCCGACCGAAGTGTTGACACGCCTCATTGACATCCACGCCACCACAGCCCATGCAGCACGAGCGAATGCACCAACTGCGGCAGCCAAGGCTGAGAGAGTGCGACGCCCTGTCGTGTCTGCATCTGGAACGAGCGAGGCGTGGTCATACTTCACCCAACGGTGTGCCGACTACAAACAAGCGACTCGCCTCACTGGTGCAGACATCGTCTTCCAGCTCCTCGAGTGCTGCGATGAGTCACTACAAAAAGACCTCACAAGGACATTCTGCGCCCTAGCCTTCAGCGAAGAGGACACTGTCCTAAAGAACATCAAGAGCTTGGCGGTGCGCCAGGAAAACATCATGGTAGCACGGGTACAGCTACATCAAATGAAGCAAGACCAGGACGAGCCTGTCAGAGCCTTCGCAGCCCGCCTCAGGGGCCAGGCCGGGGTTTACAACTTCAAGATAAAATGCCCTAGGTGCCCTCCAGATGCCCACGAACCCAGCGTGGACTATAGCAATGTGATGATTCGTGACGTCCTCATCTGAGGTCTGATTGATGAGGAGATCCGACTCGACATCTTAGGCGAGTCAAAGAGGGACATGTCCCTTGGGGATGCACTGCTACATGGAGGCGAAGGAGAGTGGCAAGAGGTCAGCCAGTCGCCTCGTTGAAAGCTGCTCCTACACCACAGCAGCGGCCACAAGCTCCTAAAAGCCCAGTGAGAAACTCGGCACACAGGGCAACTTGTTCCACAGTAAGGGCCAAGCGTTCCCCTGCAATTACTGCAGCAAACTGGACCATGGGAATGGTAGACAGGAACGTATGAAGAAGTGTCCGGCATTTGGTAAAAGATGCACCTGGTGTGGCCTATCCAATCATTTCGCCTACCTTTGCCAACAATCGTCACGGAACCGTAACCCCACCAATGCCCTGGATGACTCTGCCGCTGCCTTTGACAGTCTATACGGTGCACATTCGGCCACACCGGTGTCTAATGCGCACTCTGCATCCCTAGACCATCATGTATACGAGTTTGGCAGGGCATGGGAGAAGCGAGCATCCGACCCTCAGCCTTTCGTCACCATCCAGGCAGTGCCTTTCGACGCCCAATCTCTCGGGTTCCCGCCACCTCTGAGAGGCAGCACCTCTCTCGTCAAGTACCAAGCTATGGCAGACACTGGGTGCCAGAATAGCCTGGCGGGCGTAACACTCTTGACTAGGATGAGCCCCATTCGCCGTCACCTCTTCCCTATCAACATGAAGATGACAGCCGTGAATCGTGGGGCCATTGACATCATCGGAGCCCTTCCCCTTCGTATTTCTGGTACGTCTTCATCCAACACCAAGCTGGCGACCCACCAGATGGTGTACTTCACCACATCCACTGGCCGGATGTTCCTAAGCAAGCAAGCCTGTGTGGCTTTGGGAATTATCCCTCTCCTAGCTTTCCGACCATTGGCGCCACCAGTGCAGCCATCAATTCGAAGGACAAGCCGGCTTGCGGGTGCTCATATCGTCAACCACCTCCGCCACCACCAACCTCCCTCCCGCTTCCTGCCACAGAAGAGAACAGAGAGGGCTTGGAGCAGTGGCTCCTAGATCACTACAGATCCAGTACATTCAACGTGTGCGAACATCAACCACTACCAATGATGTCTGGCCCACCCATCCACCTCATGGTGGACCCTGACGCCCGTCCCGTGGCTCACCACACCCCCATCCCGGTCCCTGTCCATTGGCAAGACGAGGTCAAAGCCGGCCTAGACCAAGATGTGCGACTGGGGGGTCATTGAGCCTGTCCCCGTCGGCACCCAAGTCACCTGGTGCCACAAGATGATGATCTGTCCGAAGAAGTTGGGTAAACCAAGGCGCACGGTTGACCTCCAACCGCATATAACCATTTTGACCGTTTTCCCCTCAACAATTTACAATGTGTGTTCACTGGGTCACTGTCTAAAACAACCGTTTTCCCTCAACAATTTGTGGTCATCTGGGACAGCTTTGAGCGTGTGTGACTGAGACCACCCAATGTGTTGAAAATCACCTTGCCATTCTGATACTTTTTAGTCTTTACCTACGACATAACAGCCTGTTATAACGGCTGTTTACTAAGCAACAAGACATCACTTTTATAATAAATCTTCAGCACTTTACCAAAACCGACTCAAAACATCCACGAAAACTGAAACAACAGCTTTTTGTGGACAACAACTGGGAAGTAGTCGCTTTTATACAGCGGTCAATGTCTTGGACATGTGGCTGTGAAAGCAGCTTCAACAGTACGTTTTTGAAACGTTTTCGAAAGTCTTAAGAATGTGTATCCTCCTGTACCGACAATAGTCATCGTTTATGTTTAATGATCTTGAAGGCTCAAGCTTTACACTTTTCATCCACATGTCGCCCATCGGCGATTTCCGATTTCGGCTGTAAAGTCCATGTGTGGCAGATAGGCGACGTCGCAGTAAGAACCTACAGGAACCTAAACAAGGATGGCATTATAAGGTGACTGGCGAGTCCTTGGGATCTTGGAGACCCCAGGAATTGGAATGCCCGGGAATTTGAATAAAATCGCCAATTCAATATAATATCAGTGGTCATATATATAATAATATAATTTTATAATAATCACTCACTCTGTTGATGAACAAAATTAAATTTAAAAGTCTGTTTTAGGCCGTACAGTG